TCCAACACATTGGTGGGGCTTTATTGAGAACTCGTTATAATGTTTGCCGGGCATTGTCTCAAGAACTTTGTATCCATTCTCATTTAATTCCCACAATAGCCCTAAGAGATAGGTTATGAAATGGGTACTTTTATTTTTTCTGTTTACGAAGATGAATATTGGAGGGTTCTAAAAGAAAATGGATACCTACTTCAGGTTATTCAGCCATTAGTTGTCAGAGGTAAATTTGATTCCTGAGGGTTAATTTATTTACTATATTTTTGTTTTGTTTTGTTTTGTTTTGTTTTGTTTTTGTTTTGAATGCTAGTCATCCTTCTAAGGGCTGGTGATGAAATAGTGAATGAGGCAAAATTCCTGCTTTTATGGAATTTGGCTGATGGTAGGATGAGACCAGCCATAATATACCAAGTAATGAGAAATAGTTTCAGGTTATAATAAATACAATGAAGAAAAATAAGCAGTATGTAAGAAAAGTGACTGGATAGTGGGAGGCTACTTTTCTTAAGGCTAACAGGCAAAGCTCCAAGGAGGTGACTTCAAACAAATCAACATATTGTACATACTTAGGAGGGTCCAGTGTGGTGTTTTGATACATGAATATAATGTATGATGATCAAATCAAGGCAATTAGTATATTTATAACCATAAACATTTATCATTTCTTTGTGCTGAGAATATTCAAAGTCCTGTCTTCTAGCTATTTCATTCATCTGTTGTTAGACACTTACATGATTCTACATGTGGCTGTTGTGAATAGCACTGCAGTGGACACAGGAATGCAGATATCGCTCCTGCATACTAATTTTTGCTGTTGACTATATACCCAATAGTGGAGCATGCTGGATCATATGGTAGTTCTGTTTTTAGTTTTTTGAGGAACCTCCATATTGTTCTCCATAGTGACTGCACGAATTTACATGCTCAGCACCGTGTAAGAGTTCCCTTTCCTCTGCATCCTTGCTAACATTTGTTATTTTTTGTCTTTTTAGAAGCTAGCCACTTTTTTTTTTTTTTTTTTTTAAGAATTTAGCCATTATAATTAAGATGAGATGATATCTCATTGTGGTTTTGATTTGCATTTCCCTGATAATTAGGGATAGTGAACATTTTTTCACATACTTCTTGACTCTTTTTAGGACTTCTTCTGAAAAATATGTCTATTTACTGGGTCGTTGGGAAAGTTGTGAGATGTTTTTGCATAAAAAAAGCATAGAAAAATACATCATTACTTTCCTAATGACCTAATAGAAAACTTGCCCATTTTAAATTG